AACGGCGATAAAAATTATTTATATTAATGATGTCTCCAAAGTTCAACGAAGTTTTCGCAGAAAAATAAGTTATTTGGCCGCTGTTTGCTGAGCTGTTCGGCGACGAAAACAAGCTTGAGCAATGGCGATGTCGAATGGTGCACACTCGGTAAGTAATCCTACAATTTTTTGTTTATAGCGTAGTTTATACGGATTATTTGCAAAAAAATATACGTTCTTTAGAAATGTTGAGTCGGATTAGTGTAGATTCGATTAATTTTATGGAAGAAAACCCTTCAATCAGCCGTAGTCCGTAAACTTCACACGTGTCAGGCCGTGATTGGAAGGACTCGTAAGAAATCGGATTTTTAAAGAATGAGATGTATCTATGATCTTATAGGGGGTCGACTGTATAGTGAGAATTGAAATAAGGACAATAAGGCAATAATAATTTAACTATTAATCTTAATATCTATAGAATAATGTTATGTTTTAATATCTTACCTATAGCAGTAACAGGCTTGCACTTTCCAACAGGTAGATCTCTAGATTCTAACAAAGGTATCCATCCATTCGGATATGCGGGAGGAAACTCCTGTGTTTTTCTCGATCTATTTGTATCTTTTAATAACTGAATTCGTTTTCTACGTAATTCCTTCGCATTCATTTTTCCATCTTCATATCCGATACCAGTCATGTCCTGCATTGATAAAGAGTATTGTTGAAAAGTGAATAATATTTTGAAATTAAATATATGTTTATGTTTACTTACAACAACATTGTTAATAGTCGAAAAAGAAAAGTAGATGATAAGAATAAAAACAAACGATAGAAATAGTAGATAAGGTTTATTTATAGTTATCGAAGCGATGCATTCAAAGATATCCAGAAACCCGGAATTTTTCCATAATTCCTCTGCTACACTGCCGTATATAAAGGTGAACATATTTGTTTAAATTATAATCTTGNAAAAAGAAAAGTAGATGATAAGAATAAAAACAAACGATAGAAATAGTAGATAAGGTTTATTTATAGTTATCGAAGCGATGCATTGAAAGATATCCAGAAACCCGGAATTTTTCCATAATTCCTCTGCTACACTGCCGTATATAAAGGTGAACATATTTGTTTAAATTATAATCTTGTAGTTGTCTGAAATAAAAAATTCGATTATATTGTTTAATATTTTATCAACTTTGATTAATATAACAGATATAAACAATCATTATAACAAGTTATCTCAATAGGTTAGCATTGATACAGATTGGGATAACTGTTTCAATAGTAACGATTAGTTTTACGTGGACATTTGTTAGATCATATCATCGTTATAACCATTAGCAACCAGATAAATATTTGTCCATGAAGTTAACAGTGTGAGATAGTAAGTGTTTCCAATTACCTCTCTTACTCAGGATATTTGATTTCAAAGTTCGGTGAAAATTGGCAAAATCTCTCCTTAACAAGTCAACTGACTTGTTAAGGAGAGATTTTGTTAAGGAGTGACGTGACATTAGGTGAGAATAATATATACAGTAGAGCGGAATCAGAACGGAATCAGAACGGAATCAGACATATTTTAAAATTTAATATGAAGAAAAACAACTTTAAAAGAAAAAGAAGAATTTGAAAAAAAATTAATATTAAACATGACCGACGTAGAGTTACCAGAACCAGTCAGAAGAACACTGAATCAAGGATTAGATTATAATGGACCGAAAATATTGAAAACTGAAGACATCGCAGTTTTTACAAAACATCTATTATGGAAGTTTTTAGAAGAAGACAGGCGAACTAAATACAAAAGATTATTTTGAACTCTAAGACTAAATATCTGCATCCATAATTTTCCAGTAAAATAAGTCTTGTTAATATATAGAAAGTACTAGTATACAAAATAAATTATAAATAAAGAAAAACAAATTTATGAAACAAAATATCACATTTATTCAAATAAAGAACGAGTAACAAATGAAAGTCTCTAGTAATTAGAAAACATGATATTATAACTATACTTAGTAAATTATCCATTGATTTTATCCAAAGTTTATCTATTGATTTTATGTATGATTTTAATATGTATTTACATTGGGATTTAACTGGTAAATATCAAATAGAATATCAACAATTTATTGTAGCCAACAGACATAAACTAAATATGCAATCAATTAGCGAATATCCGACATTGTAAAAAATGATTTAAATCGGAAAATTATTTCAAAGCATCAAAAGTTATCATTTAATTTAATTGTTTTTTAATATTATCTGATTTTGGACACCCAAGAAGTTCGATATGTAAATAATTGTAGTTCCATTTTTTAAAAAGATTTTTTTTCTATCAGTATATCTTTTAATAAAAATATTTCTGTATACGTTGTGAAATAATTTAATAAGTTTTGTAAATTACTATGTTTCATCCAGCCAGATATATCCAATGGTTTTCTGTCTATAGAAGTTAATGTATGAATTTTTTGGTATTTAAATCAACTTGCTGTTGATCTTTCACCGACAACTGATTCTTTTTAACAAAATGAATGTAATTATCACAACTCACTCAGAAAATAATAGACTACTCAACTACACTTTAAGTTGCAGAGAAATTTTATTTAAACGTAAATATCTTTTTTGGCCAATTCGATTGGCCATACATAGGTTAAATAAGTGTGAATAAATAATAATAAAAAGTCATTGCGGCGATGTGGGTGAAATCACAAAAATCGCGTACAATAAAAGTATGAACGCCATCATGAAAAAAATTTCAGATTGGAAAAAGTTTAAAATGATTTTGAAAATAGCTCTGAACTTCTGTAAGATATTAAGGAATTACAAGGACAGCATTAATAAGAAAGAAAAGGCATGAATATACAGTACAGTAGAGCCTCGATTATCCGACTCCTGATTAACCGACATTTCGGTTAACTGACTGTCCTAGTCAGAAAATTTCAAATGTTCACTAGTGATGTGGCGCTACAACATTTGGCTATGTCTTGGCTACTTTAATATTATTTTTACGTGTTTTAGCTGGCAACACTTATTCGACCATAAAAGGGAGCCAGTATTTAAACAAGGCTTAATTTTCTAATTTTTAACGATACAATAGCGACAATTATTATTTTAAAAAATTTTTGTTAGACTTAACATTGATGAAAATTCAACGCGAAATAGGTTAACAGCGATATACTAATATACTAATTACATAGAATATAATAATATACTACACTAATTATGGATTTTTTCATACTTTTCGATTATCTGACTTTTTAATTATCCGACCAACCCCAGTTTTCATTTGAGTCAGATAATTGAGGCTCTACTGTATTCCTTATAAAAACATGCATTTAGGAATAAAAAAAAAGCTANATATAATAATATACTACACTAATTATGGATTTTTTCATACTTTTCGATTATCTGACTTTTCAATTATCCGACCAACCCCAGTTTTCATTTGAGTCAGATAATTGAGGCTCTACTGTATTCCTTATAAAAACATGCATTTAGGAATAAAAAAAAAGCTATATTTGTGTTACTATAAAAAATTTGGGAATCGTGTTGAAGGATCACAAATATAATGTCTAAGAGGGATCTAACGCCACAACATTATCTTAGACAGCGCAGGCTGAAGTCTCTATATTAAAATGAGAGGAAGCATATATTGTTAAGTCTTTGGACTCCCTGACTTTAAACATAAGCAGAGAAAAGATTGAAATTTATAAAGGAAAGCTATAAGACCGAATATTTGGTTTTATTATTATACATTCGAACAATCGCCGGTGTATGTCGACAAACACAGATAAGCTTTGGTGAAGGTCGAAACGACACTCGAGAAGCCGATGTCGACAGAGAAGCGACAGTCTGTCGCCAAATTTTTCGCCGTTTCCTTCTGTTCAAATTGGTAATACCGTAAGATTACAAGTCTCTGATGTCGACCGTGGCCGTACAGGTGCCCGAAATGTGTTGGCGGTTGTTGTTGGAATAGAAGACTCTGACTTTTATAAATTAACAAATAAAAATGGTACTATCAATCAGCTTTATACTCGTAATGAGTTCGTAATTTGTAAAAATAAGTTACTTTCCATAGATGATATATCTTCTCAAGAAATATCACCGAGGGAGGCAGCTGCAGCTAATTCGAAAAGTGAAGGGCGATGCTATATACGCTGTTATTGCAAAAAGAAGTGATCCACGAATAAATGCAGTTGTAAAAGCAAGGGACTCCTGTGCAATTCAAATTGCTATAACAGTTTAAGTTGTTGCAATAAATAAGATTGTATAACNATGCAGTTGTAAAAGCAAGGGACTCCTGTGCAATTCAAATTGCTATAACAGTTTAAGTTGTTGCAATAAATAAGATTGTATAACGTTAATCACATAATTTATGTGTAAGTTTATTATTGTTTTATTTTCTTTAATGATTTAGAATGTACTGTTCGTTTTAAGTTCAACAGTTTATTTACATGTGCTGTTACTTAAGCTTTTTCCTATTTTGACGTATTAAAATATTGCATTTTTGTATAAGGTAATAAAAATACTTTTATTTAACATTCATCATCAGTGCATGCTGAATGTCGACATTTGCCGGTGTAAGTGATAAATAATGATACTTAGCTAATATTTCGTACATACACGAAACGACTGTGTGAATGCTGACATTCACCAGAGAATGTTTACATTCGCCAGATATCGGTCATTCACAGTAACATATANCATCAGTGCATGCTGAATGTCGACATTTGCCGGTGTAAGTGATAAATAATGATACTTAGCTAATATTTCGTACATACACGAAACGACTGTGTGAATGCTGACATTCACCAGAGAATGTTTACATTCGCCAGATATCGGTCATTCACAGTAACATATATATGAATTTTGTTATAATTTGTGCACCAATTTTTCTATTTGAATTTTCTCTGTTTAAATCTTTGTTTTTTTATATTTGAATTTATATATTCTATTTTTAGATCACTATTATTTATTTTCATTTAACCTGAAGATAGCTAATCGAATTGTCCAAAAACGTTAGTTACGTTTAAATAAATTTTTCTCAGCAACTTAAGGTGTTCTTCAGTCTATCGTTTGCTGACTAAGTTGTGATAATTACATAGATTTTGTAAAAAGTATCAATAATCGGTGAAAGATCAATGGCAAGTTGATTTAAATACCAAAAACATTCATGGATTAAATTCTACACACAGAAAACCATCGGATATATCTGGCTGGATTGAACATAGTAATTTACAAAACTTATTAAATTACATCACAATGTATAACGCATTATTTTTATTTAAAGGTGGATACATAGGAAAAAGAAATCTTTTAAAAAAAATAGAATACTGTACAATTATTTTCACATCGAACTTCTTGGGTTTATAGAAAGTACTAG